GGCGCACTAAGGAAGGTGTCAAGACCCCCAACTACTTCGGATCCGTCGTTCAAGCTTCTACTCTAAAGCTCGGCGTCGATCCTAAAGGGAATGACGTTTACATTCCTTTCAATCAGATTTTGCCCATGGTTCATCCCAACGACTTGGTTCTCGGAGGTTGGGACATCAACTCTTTCAACCTTGCACAAGCAATGGAACGCGCCCAAGTTCTTGATTATGATCTCCAACGTCAACTCGCACCCAAGCTTGAAAAAATGATTCCACTGCCTTCCATCTATTATCCAGACTTTATTGCAGCCAATCAAAGTGACAGAGCCGACAATCTCATTCCTGGAAATAATAAGAAGGAACACCTAGAACATATTCGTAACGATATTCGACAGTTCAAGATCGCCAATCAGCTCGACAAAGTCATTGTTGTTTGGACAGCCAACACTGAGCGATATGCCGAAATCATTCCAGGCGTCAATGATACCGCCGAGAATATTCTTGGAGCAGTCGAGCAAAGTCATCCGGAGATTGCGCCTTCCACGATCTTTGCGTTGGCTTGTATTCTCGAGAAGACACCTTTCATCAACGGCTCTCCTCAAAACACCTTCGTTCCTGGTTGCATCGAACTCGCGGAGCGCGAGCGTGTGTATATTGGTGGAGATGATTTCAAGTCCGGTCAGACCAAAGTCAAATCCGTGTTAGTTGATTTTTTGGTGAATGCCGGTATCAAACCAATTGGTATCACTTCTTATAACCATCTTGGTAACAACGACGGCAAGAATCTGTCGGCTCCACAACAATTCCGATCCAAGGAAATTTCCAAGAGTAATGTGGTTGATGATATGGTTGCGGCAAATCAAATTCTTTATGAACCCGGCGAGCATCCCGATCACGGTATTTTTCAATATTCATAAACTTCAATATTTATTTATTTATTTATTGGGTTTATTAAACCAAGAGTTTTTTTTTTTTTAGTCGTTGTTATCAAGTATGTTCCAGCCGTCGGCGATTCCAAAAGAGCTTTAGATGAATATGTTTCGGAAATTTTTATGGGAGGCAAGAATGTGAGTAGAGGGGAGTCGTAATTATCATTTGATCAACCAAGAGTTCTAATATTCAAAATACAAAATGTGCACATTTTTTTCACATCAGACAATTTCCTTGTACAATACATGTGAAGATTCCCTCCTAGCATCTCCACTTATCTTGGATTTGGCTATAATCACCGAATTGATGACTCGCATCGAATATCGTACTGATGATGCTGCGGAGTTCGCACCATTTGATGCCGTCTTGTCCATTTTGAGTTTCATGTTGAAAGCACCTTTGGTGCCTGTTGGGACTCCCGTTGTTAATGCGTTGAGCAAGCAAAGAATGGCAATGGAGAATCTTTTCCGAGCCTGTATTGGTTTAGCACCTCAAAATGAAATGCTCTTGGAGCATAAAGCACCTTCTCAAAGAAATATTTAAAGTAATAGTTATTTACACTATTTTGCAACCTTTGAATTTTGTCCCTTGTATTTTTTATTATTGATCACGTGGAAATATGCGTGGTTATGCATTGAATGAGTAAAGTTATTACAGATCCATTCTTTTAGTTAAAAGATTTTATTGAATGCAAAATTGCAATGTCATAATTGAGATTAGCCAATCTAAACCAAGGGCTATTATGAAATATGAAACCCTTTAGAAATATTAAACACTAAACAGAGACAAACTGATTACGAAGGAATTCAAAACCTTCATTTTGAGGGCGCAGTTTTATGTATAAAAGGAACATGATTTGCAATGAACTTACTTCAGCCACAAAATTAATTATTCGGTTACACTCGGCCTCTTGTTTTTGTTACTTTTGTATGTAATTGATTGATTTGATCTAAATTATCTACATCAAAGAAGATTGATGCAAAACATCATTACCTATACTGTAGCCGAACGAATTTTATAAAAAGACGGGACCTGAAGAATCGCTAAAGATAAAATTTAACATTTCTTTAATTCATCGATATTTGTATAAGAATAAAGAATGGGTGAGTTTTTTTCAATGAAATTCCATGTTTAAATAAGTTTACACGATCGTTTGAATAATCACTAGTTTGTCTTCAAAAAAAAAGATCGAATACTCCCGAAAGGTAACATGAGAGTACGTCTCGTGAATTGGTTGAAAAATGCGAAACAAAATAAGTGGCCATCTCATAATCTCGCCGAAAACACGATGAATCATAGCAAGCAACACGAAAATAGATCGTCATCTTTCCAAAGTTTCCAATCTTCGTTAGATTATACGATACCTCAACCTCGTCCATCCTACGCATCATATAGTCGTCGATCATTATCAACAAAAAAAGAGAATGATAATCCGTACGAGATCAGGACGTACCTCCCAGATCTTTTGAGATCGTTTGGGAAGTTTGAACATGGTTTAAAAGATGTGCTGGATAATAACAAGAGGTGGGCCGACAATAGTCAATTAAAGGAAATGAAATTTTTCGACAAATTGGAGAATGAACCAAAGTTGTATTGGATTGGTAATTGTTCATCTTGTTCTTTTTTGGAAATGGTGCAAGGCGAGTTGGTACACATCTAACCATTTTAATTTTTTATTCAACTACGAAGGTTGTTCGGATTCAAGAGTGCCGCCAGAAATAATTTCCCAATTGGGTTTTGGACAGCTATTTGTGCACCGTAATATTGCGAATCAATTTGACACCAATGACACGAATAGCATGTCGGTACTAGAATTTACCGTGAATCATCTTAAGGTCGAACACATCGTGGTCTGCGGTAAGTTCTCACCTTTCTCTAAAACAAAAACCTCATCAATAATTATATTATAATCTTGTCTCACCAATAAATTATACAAAAATGCAAAAAGGTCACACAAAGTGTGCGGGAGTCAAAAACGCTTGTAATAATCATCTCGAAAAGAACTTGATCGCCTGGCTGTCGGACATCCGTAAGATCAAAGATGTACATCCCGAACTATTTCCCGATCAGGAAACCATGTCGCACATGAGCAATGATGAGTTAGACCGAATTCACAAGACCTTGGTTGGAGTTAACGTGAAGAACCAGGTGAAAAAGATTTCAGAAAGTGAGGTGGTCAAAAAGGCGTGGGAGGACGAGGAGAGGAAATTGGCGATTCATGGATGGGTGTTTAACATGGAAAATGGTCATTTGGAGGACCTGGGCGTTACCGTCGGAAGACAGTGAGTGATAGGTGATGCAACCAACAAACAAAAAGTAAGCATTAAAATGACAAGCGCTGAATGACATTTACTTTGCGAAATTAAACTCCTTTGACGAGGAATTCAGTCTCCTATAGAGATATGATAGTTTTGAGGAATTCAGTCTCCTATAGAGATATGATAATTTGGAGGAATATAGTTTTGATTTGCAGTCGTACATTTAATTTAATTATATAATTTTTTTTTATTTAAAGTAAAAATTGGTTTTTTTAATTAGAAAAAGTCAAATTGTTTGTAAAAAAAGCAACTGATCAGGTCATGATATAAATATGGTAACAGGTTTTTCGAACGTACATATATATTAATGCTTTTACTATTTTTGGTTAATTCCGACTTGACTGGGTAATAAATCATACCCATAATCAAGTTCCTACGGAAACACAATCATATGGTCATTTCTCGAAATTAGTTTCATGTGTGGGACCTAATCCCCCGATATAAATAACCTTCATGATTTCCCCCATTCCCTCGGTTCTCGTTTTTTTTTTTTGACATAGTGGAAAATGTCTTCTGGGAAAAAAGTTGACTTGTCTCAAACTCATCTGACTGAGGTTAGTTCCTCAGGCAGCGGTAGTCCTCCGAAAGACTTTATTACTACACAGGTTTGCTTTAAAATTATTGACCAAAGCATAGAATTCTTGTGTACACATTTAAATCCTAATTTGCTCACTGTATATTATTACCAGCCATTAGAGATGAATGCGATGCAGATCAGTTATTCCAAGACATTCCCGATAACGGAAAATCCACATAATTTCTATGGGGGTATGATCAACTTTCTCGGGAATTTCTGCGGATTTATTGGCTCGGTATGTGAGAAGGAATTCCAATAAAATGCTTGCGTTGTAATACTGTCATAATGTCGAATCCTTTTTAAATTGTGGGCGTGCGATATTTAGATTCCAATTTGTCCATGTTTTCCCAACCCTTACAAGAAAGTCGAACAGGGTTATGTTGGTTTGATTTCGCGATTTGGTATGTTTTTTTTATCATTGCTTCTTTAATAATTACCATTAGACAATTGCAATAATTTCCAATCGTTAATGCTTCTTTGATAGGTCAATTCTACAAGTTTGTTGATCCAGGTTTGGTCAAAGTGAATGTGTTCTCAGAGGATCTCAAGAAGGTCGACATAAAGGTATCCATTTAATCGTATTCAACTGCATCACAGATTTCATATACAGTATATTCAGGTAAAGTTACAATTTGTTGATTCTGCCACTCAAACAAATAGGTACAAGTCACAGATATCTTGGGCCAACCAATAATGACAAAGGTATTAATCGGGACTTTTGGTAATGATGTCAAACGTATGATCAATGACACTTCTATTGATGCATCGTATTATATCATTTAGGACAACGTAAACGTTTTAATTGATTCGGTTATCTACTGGCATGTAATTAACCCCTATCAAGTTACCTTTGGTGTTAATGACGTCCGCAAAGCACTCTCTGATCGGTAAGTTCTCTCCTTGGTTGGCGTAGGCTGCCAAATCTAGGGGTACGAATACTAAGCAGGGCGCAACTCCTGTTTAGCTACCGTCTGCATCAATATAATAATTGCCTGACCATCGTCTTAAAATTATAGTGCCCAGACTACGCTGCGCCACATTCTCGGTATGCGCGTTCTCCAGGATTGCATCGAGAATCGTGAAGCGATTGCCTACGAAATCAGAGAGATAATTGATGAACCCGCTCACTCTTGGGGTGTCAAGGTGCAAAGAGAAAATTGCTAGTCCCTTGGTTGAAATATTTCATGCCTGATATGTTACCGCTTGAACTGTTTTCTTTTTGCAAATTCCAGATTGAGAGTGTCTTGATCAAGGACATTAAATTCTCCATGGAACTACAAGCCTCACTTTCATCGGCTGCTCAACAAAAGCGAATTGGTGAAAGCAAAGTGATTGCTGCACAGGCTGAAGGTACGATCATTACATATGATATGATAATGCTTATTATGTATTGCGTCAGTAAACTTAGGCCTCTTCATAAACAGTCGACTCCGCGAAACTAATGAGGCAAGCTGCCGAGTTACTGAACTCGCCTGCCGCCATGGTACGTGTCTCCATTTCATCAAATTATTAAAGATCATGTTAATGATTTACGCCTTTTTCATAAACAGCAAATCCGTTATCTTGAGACCATGAGCACAATGTCAAAAGCTCCAGGAACCAAGGTTATTTTCATGCCTTACAACTCGGGCAGCGAAAATGGTCTTGCTTCCTCGTCCAATAGTAAACTTGATCCCTTGACAGCTTCAGTTTATCAAACGATTTCTGATCAATGACAGACATTTAACCTAAACTAGTAAGTAATCAAGTAGTCGGTCACATGAGATTATCAAACTTTATTTCACTTGTTGGGATTTAAAAATTCCCCCCAATTCACACTCAGATTGTTGTATATTAAATAGTAAATAAATATCATGAACTTTATTAATGTTAATATTTTATACTAATTCACCGTCTCATATTCCGATATTGAATTGTATCCTGTCACAAATATTATACAAGCTAACGTGAAATTAAATACAGCCGAAACGGAAGAAATAATAAAACTGACGTCAAATTTTACACCGTAGTAAAATTTGTCGGAAGTGTGATAAAGATGAACGATCAAGAATATGGTGGCTATCTGAAGAAATGCTGTTAAAATCAAGAGTTTTTTCTTTTGATTAATTTATTGATACAAAGATGCGGAAAAAAAAAAAGGAGATAAAATCGGGTGTACTCACACAACATTCCGATACCGAAAGTAATAAACTTCCAGGCATCCTCTCGATGGGCCTGTCCACCAAAAAAAATTACATATGTCAAGTACATAAGTACCACACCACCTATGATGCTTGCGAGTATCATATAAATTTTGGCAGCATTCCATTCTTCGCAAAATCCTTCTTCGTCGCAATCACCGTATTCGTCAGACGGAAACGAACGACAACTTTCGGCATTCAGGCTTGAACATTTCTGAGGTCAAAAGGTTCATATTTATTAAAGAGCGAACAGTAGTAGCACGAATGGGAAAATGAGTTTTATACCTCAAACAAGCCGTAATTTGTGACCGCACGATATGGTCTTGGGCTTTCGAATATTAGCCTTCAAATCGTAAGTCATTATTAGCAGCAGCACTTGATGTTGAGGGAGTTAAATCGCAAAATCAAGAGCTAACATACCACCGAGGTAAAAATAGGGATGTCAACACACACGCATAACTGCAGAAAAACGATAAAGTAACTAAATAATATGTTATGATCCTTAACATGTTTTCGTGTTTCTTCAGGATATTTCAAACAGGTTCAAAAATTCAACATTATGTAATTTTGAATTGATTAATTTAACTAATTTAGATTGTTCATATCATGTGATATTTCCGGTCAAAAAAGAAATGTCTTGACGATTGCCTTTTGTGCAGTCCCAATCCAGTAGGAATGAAAAATTCAAAAAAAAAATCCAAATCGAGCAATGTCAATCTGCAGTTAAATAGTGATAATAGTAATGAGATCGATGAAATATTTTCGGCAGCAAAAAATAAAAAAGCGTCTTCTCGTTCTTCACCCGTCCGAGAAGCAAAATCTCAAACTACTAATTCGAAAGACACTGCACCTGAATCTCCTTCCGCGATATCAACTAACGAGAGAATTGACGATGATGAAAAAGAAAAATTAAAATCTTCAAAAGCTAAAGAATTTGTGTTCAAGGTACCAGCCATACCTGACCGTTCGAAATCGAATAAACGAAAATTAATACAGAATGATGATGACGGGTTCAGTGACTCCCGAGGAACAAAGATTCGTGAGTATATCATTGAGTAGATGTCTCTTCATTGTTCAGTATATCGAGGATTTATCGATTTTTTATTAAAAGGCAAGTCGACTGAAGATGGATTCGCTATTTATAATGCCAACGAATTAAACATTGGAAATGGTGGAGGTATTGATACGTTCTATCCCTTATTCAACTGACTTCATCTTACTAATTCGATTATCCGATGAAAATTCTTAAGATACACCGCTGTGCCCATTTGATTGTGATTGTTGTAAGCATCTTCCAGAACTCCAATCATGTTGATAGATCATAGATCAACGATTGAATTTTTCTTGTGTAAATTTTCTAGGTTTCTAAACTCTCTGCCGGTATTCCTTTAAGATTCGGCAATAATGTTTATTTTGTAGTGGAAATAGTTCCATTTTATTAAATTAACGATATTAGAAAGAAAAAGGATTGTTATGATTTGGATTAATCGATCTTAGCATGCGCGTTTGAATGAACGCAGCTTATTCAATAACCTTAAATCCTTTAAACAGAATACAACGCATCCAAGAATCCGCAAGCAAGCTCGTTCACAATAGATTTGTCCGGTAAAACGGCAGCCAAACCATAAATCGCTGCCGTGTCACTCGATTTTCTGTTTGGCTCGGATTTGAGTTCGTCCACACATTCTCGCAAATCAATTAAGAATTGTTCGGCGTGTGGTACTGTTAACAGAGTACACGCGATGTGAACTGCTGCGGGATTTTGGAGAGCATTCAGATTCCATCCTCGCTTGGACATTTTTTCACTTATGTCATATACATTTAGCGTGTTAGATCCGAAGGCTACTACCGATACTAACGGTTTTCCGTATACAAATAGATCGTCAATTTTGCGGATACTGTGCGAGCGAAAGATAATGGACTGAATGAATTCGTTATTTTTGCTAGAATTATTAGAATGAACTTATACCGCTTAATATAACCTACCCAGCCTCAATTTTTTTAGCGCACCCCACGATCTTTTTTGTTGCGTCAATGTATCCGGATTTACCCAAGTTCATGATTGTTGCCCAGCATCCGGCAATAAGCGCCCCTGGACTATTTACCTAAAGTTAGAAATTTTCTAGATTTTTAATTCTACAACAGAAAACTGCTGTGCGAATTACCGTGATCCGGTAGTGTTAGGAGAAGCATATATTCCCCCGGTCCAATCAGGCGCAAAAAAATATTGATATTTACGGAGCGTTTTCGTGCGGTACATGACAACCGAAGATCCTTTTGGTGCGAATCCATACTGATTTGATATAATTTTTTACGAAAATTTGCCGTCAGCCTGGTTCAAATATAACTACTATCAAATAAAAAAACCAATAATTTAATCACCTTGTGTGTATCGCATGAAATCGACGTGACACCAGGTATTCTAAAATCAAATGGCTGAGAAGGAAATCCCGCCTCTTCTAAGAAGGGTACCAAAAAGCTTCCCAAACAACAATCGACGTGCATTCCGACATTATTTTTTTTGGCAATTGAGGCCAGAGTCGGAATATCGTCGATAATACCGTAAGGAAAGTTTGGCGCTGACCCCGCAACCTGAAATATTCGCCTATTATTCAAGAGTAGCCATGCGTTACCATAATAATTTAAACAAGCCTTACCATGATCGTGTTTCTGTTGATCGCTCTGCTGACAGCCGTGGTGTCAACCCTGCGGGTCACAGGATCAATAGGAACATGAACCATTTTAATGTTAAAATAACCCGCTGCTTTATCGAATGCTGCATGAATGGTGTCTGGAACTACCCTACGTAGGAATATGTATAGTTAACATTTAAGAAAGTTGATTTCTGACAATAAATGTTGAAACCTACATTTCGGGATTAGTTATGCCTTTTTCTTTTCTTGCCCAATCACGATATGCCTTGCACGCCAACAGGATACTTTCTGTACCGCCTGACGTGGTAGTTCCTGCTGCACCACTTGGTGCATTATACATGCTCAACACCATTGAAACGACTTCCGCTTCCATTTTGCGTAAACCAGGAAACACATCCGGGTGCAAAGGATTACTGAAAGAGAACATAGCATATGCCTCGATCTGTAATTTTGAAAGTTTATGACCACCATGATAGATTGTGCCTGAAATGCGACCATCTTCCCATTTCACGTTTTTGTAATTCTGGTACCTAAATTGACCACATTATTTAGAGTCAATGCATACATAATTGTATGACGTGATTGTTGAAATTGTGTCACCTCTTTAACTCCTCCTTAACCTTCTTTTCATCAAATCCAACATCTGGTAAAAAAATATAACTAGGTGTGTCTGATTCTTTAGGAGCAACTTGCTCCTCCACGTTTTTAACGATTTCATCAATCTTGTCTTGGATTTTGGCCTTTGCACCTGGAGCATTGGTAAGCGTTTTTAATATCACACTACCGATTACCTTGTATAGATCACCGAGACTACGACGAACTCCTTGGACGGCAAGCTTGTTTAATGTAGCTCTACCATAATGATATATCACTAAAATGAACAAGATATTTTTAATGTGATTTAGACGAGGTGAGTTTAATAATGTTAGGGTTGCTTGTATAATCGGGAATTTCGAAGGTAATAATAGCGTGGAAGAATGAGAAGACATTTTTTTTGACCACCAAAAAAAAAACAGTTCACACGCTTCATATGCTAAATTTACCTAATCAAGGTATAGTTATATTATACATATATGAAACTCATGTACGCGCTATGCTTACCAATAAGAGCCTGGGAAAATTACACATTTTTTGTTTTCCAATCAGAATGTTATTTATTTTATTAATTAATTTGGTTATGGATATAAATATCTTATTTAAAATGTTTAACTAATAAGTTTTTGGACATATATTTTTTATAATAAATAAACAACTATTTATTCATTTTGATATAAAATTTTAGAGATATATTTTTTAGAATATAGAAAAATAAAAATATTAATAAATTTATCTTAAAATTTTGATTTTTAAACTAAAAAAAGTATAATATTATGATTGAAAAATAATTTTTAGCATATAAAATATTTTTTAAAAATATTGTTTAATCAATAAATTATTATATATATATAGTGTGTTAGAAAAGTCTTTGGACTGATGTTTTTTAATATAACTTAATAAATAATTATTTAATTAATATAAAACTTTAAATATATATTTTTTATAATATAATAATAAAAATATTTAAGTTTTATTAATATTTGATTAATAAATTTATTATAAAATATTAATTTAAAATAATAAAAAAATATTATTTAAAAACTCTTTTTTACCTATTCCTATTTTATCAGAAAACTTCTTTTTATAAAAATTTTTCTTATTTTTCTTTTTTTTTTCTCTTACTTACTTTGGATATAGCTTGTATAAGGCAATAATCTGAAATAGAAAAAAAAAATTAGAGCAATTAAACTTTTTATCTACAAGGCTTTATATATATTTAACCATTCACATGCCTTAATATAGTGGTTTTGTCTCTTTTATTACTTTTATTTATTATTTTTTTTTTTTATCTAATTCCTTTTTCCTATTATTGAACAGTTTTTTTCTCACTTGAAAGTTTTCTTTTATAGATTTAACCTTCTTTTTTTACAAATTATATTATTAATACTTAAGTTTTATAAAATACTATCTTAATCAAATACAATATCTTTCTTGAAATTAAGTAAGTCTTAAATAAAAAAGTATAGACTCTTTTTCTGTCTTGAATTTCTTACCTAAAAATATTTAACCTAGAAAAAGTAACAGTAAAGATATTTTAATTGAAGGATTTTAAATAGCTAGAAATACTTTTTTACAATTGTCAAATAACTATCAAGTTTTCAGGATACAGACATAGAAACTATATACAGTATATATAATTTTTGTATGGTTAAGCTCTAGCCTGCCTATTATAGATTGGTTAAAAGTATTTTTTTGAAAAAGTGTTTTTGCTTCACATCTTGCTTTGTCATCGATATCAATTTAAAAGAAGTTTTATAAAGATATTATTTTATTATATTCATTATTTCCTAATATTTTCAAAAATTATAATAAACTTACTTTCTCAAAAATTAGTACAAGATAATTATATTATATTAGAATTCAGACCTCTAATATAAACAAGATTTATGGTCATAAAACTTGTTAAATATTGGTTTTCAAGTTCAGTTATAAAAATAAAACCTGATTTGAATAAGTCATATAAGTTATATATTATTAAATACATAAATTATACTGTATTTTTCCTAACATATAAATATGTGGGTCTATAGTATAGTGGTTAGTACTCTGCAGGTCAGATTACAAGATAATGGTTCAAATCCTTCAGGAAGCTAATGTGAAACCTCAAACTAGAAAAAAGGATCAATATCTTCTGATTGCTATCACAAAATACCAAGTTCAGTTTCAAATAAAAGCAACTGGACTATCTCAACATGATATCTAGTGCCATAACCTAATATGTGTTGTTTTCTATAAGAAGTCAATTCACACATTAATTCAATAAATATTAGGATTGTAATATCAAGAAAGGTGTAGTGATGTATTGATCATCTAGCAATGTTACAATAATCATTATCAAGTTTGATACTTTTCTCATTTCTTATATATAAAACATGCTTACTTACCCCTTTAGTTCACAAGACTATAAAAGAAACAATCTGATTTTTCATGAAACCAAGTTAAAGCCACAAAGACTCCTTGTTAAATATGACTAGTTCATAACTGATCATATTAGAATATGATTCTTTGAGTTTCTATTTATCAGATAGTGGGTGGAATTAGAAGACGCACATTCTGGCACATTAGCACTTTACCTATACTATCAAGGTCCTGATATTAATAATATAAAAATAATAAAAAACAATAAGCCAACTGGTAATTAGGAATAATCTTAACTTAGGTAGCTTTATCAAGTTGACATAGTAAAAAATTTGTATAAAATGGATTTATACATATTAATCCTATTATACTTAATAAAGCAAGATATATGCCAGTCATTAAAAAAAAAATTTTTTTCTTAACATACAGTATATCTAGCAAGTGCATATATATGGTATATAATATAATTAATAGCTAATTATTATTTGCTTACTTTTTCTTTATAAGGTTTTTTGGAATTATCATATAATACTTAATAATTGTAGAAAACATTAATTATTTATTATATAAATAATAATTATTATTTTTTTTGGAGGAATTTCCCCTCATAGGTAAGCATCATTTCTTTATTTGATATTGTATATAACATGATATATATTGTAAAAGAAATAACATCTCTTATGTACATGTATAGCAAATTAAATGCTAGCCTGCCTACATGAACACATCTAGCTAATATTGAAAAAGAAATTCAAAACAATACTATATACTAGCTGTGCCTGAATAGCAGC